TGCTCCAGCAAGGGGTCCTCAGGTGGATGTCTGTTCCCACATGGACCTCCGTGGACTGCAGGGGGACAGCCAGACAGTGTTTCCTTTCCCTCACATGTCCATGGAAAGAGTTAATCCTCCTTTCCTCACTTGAAAGAGCTCAGGTGTATTAAAGAATTCCTTTCCAATTCTGTAATTAAATTTAGCTTTTTCAACTCTGGTTTGATACACCCAGATATTATTTTACTAGCTGAAAGTAACTTTTAAAAAGAAATTTCTTGGCAGGGAACAGCCATTTACTACGGTCCTCTGACAAATGCAGAGATGTCAGTCAACCTTTCCCTCTGTTTTGCAGCTGGGGAGATATTTCCCTCATGAGGCTAGAGCTGGAAGGCAGCAGGTTGTATATTAATAACTGAGGGGGAAAACGTTCAAGGAGGGGGAAGGATGTCTATCAGCCTAGACAGAATATTAATGTCAGCAGCCAGCATAAGCAGAGCTATTATTACTTTAATAAGATCCAAAGATTATAAAAAAACATTTATGTTCGGTCATTTCCTGCTGCCTAAGTCAGCCTGGGTCCCTGGTAATTGTATTTCAGCTGTTTCTAGCATTCATTATTACCTTCAGAACTCCAGGGGGTTGCATATTCATGCAGCCTCCTCTTAATACCAAGCCGTTGAGTAGTGGTTTTACTATTACTGTATTTCATTTCAGTAACTTGCCCTTTTCATCATCATCTCTGCCAGATAGCTATTCTGCTGCAATCTGAACCATAAAAAGGGCCACTGCCTTCGGAACAACACTAGGTAGATAAATTTCCATGGAAAATTAGGTGGAGTACTATATCCTACACCTGAGAGAGATAATGGGTGGCATATGGACAAAGCAGATCACCTGCATTAAATCTAAAGAAAAAGTAAGTAAAATACGCTAAAGGAGGGTGGGGGGGTAACCGATCAGCTAACCTATGTGTGGCTGGAGCTTAGAAGAGAAAAGCAGGAAGGCCCCAGGAATCAAAAAATCACTTGCTGAGCGACTGTTGTTTTTAGATTACAAGTCAGAACATGATTTTTGCTTTTCAACAAAAATGGATGGCCACAGATTGAATTCACTGGATTTGTTTCCTTACTTACCTTCCTACTACGGCAAACAGGCCAGATCCAATACAACTATACTTTAAATCACCCTGTAAGGCTTCTACAGGCAGCCTCAAAACAAAGCTGTTTCAGGTTGTGGTGTTTTGTTTGTTTGTTTGTTTTTTTTCCCTCAGAAGTGTTAAATAGCTGGAGTTGGCTGGACATGTTATTTACAACATTTCAGCTAGCCACACTTCAGTCGTGGTTCCCAGGATTTATCTTTTTTTCAACAACATGGCAGATCAAAAGCAATTTTCTGCTCCTCTGGTTCCACCTTCCACCTCGTCTGCTCTGACTGGGGGCCAACTGTTGAGAGGGGCATCCTTAAACCATGTGCTCCCCTTGTTTCCCCCTGCACCCTCATGGGGTGATTTGGGTAAATGAGCTGATCTGATAGAAAGCTAATCCACAAAAGCAAAATGCCTATTTCCATTCAATCAGCTGGCAGCTACCTGAGGCTAACAGTGCATAGCAGGACCCCCTTTGGCACCTGTCTGCATTTGCCCCACACTGGGTGTGACCCAGACCCAAACCCAAACCATCACAGGAAACTACTGAAACTACAGGAGATGTGCTGCCTTAGAAAATACATCTATTATCAGGATTACCACTCTGCTTTTTCTTTGATGCAGTTTTTGTTTGGGAAAAAATGCTGTCCAGGAGGATTTTACTTACTCCAGATAATAATAATTATTATTACAGGGTAAATTTCAGAGCTGCCATGCTCCATATTGGCAAGGAAGAGAGGGACCTTGTGCTTTGAGAAGACTGGTTGAGTCATCTGTAGTACTCCTCATCTCGCTTTCAGATATTCCCACCACCCCTTGCAACAGGAAAAACTAAGTATAGCTGGCAGGTATAAAACCAGTCTTTTCCAAAGTTGAATGAACAGCCATTGGAAAAACAACAAATATTCTTTAAGAGCGAACCCACAGGGGAAAATCTGGGTTGGGAAACTGGAAAATGCAAGAAATGGCTTGTAGGAAACAAACTGGGTTCATCTGTGTAGTGAACTCAAGGAGGCTGGTAAGGAGCATGCTGTTTTGATTTATGAATTGGGGTCATGGCTAAAGTTGAAATATCTTCTTGCATCATCACCAAAACATGAAGCAATGAACACTTACACCCTCTGCATAAAATTAGCTTCTCTGTCATCACATGCATAAATGTACTTCAAAAAAGTCTCTAAAACACAAAAGGAAATGAGTCCCACTGACTGCAAAGTGAGCCCACAAAGCATTGACATTTAAAAGCTCACTAGTATTTGTAAAATACTTGAAAATTTACACTCTTTATTAGCAAAACTCTACATTAATTCTAGCAGCGTTTGCTGTTCTTAATTTGACATATTCTTCAGATGGGAGTAATAATAACAGTGAGGATTGTAAGTGACCTTTCAGAACTCATAGAAATGTCAGTTGATTTCCAGGAAACTCAGTGGTTCTATGTCCTGAATTTTGGCTTCTACAGCGTAACAAAAATTTTATTTCAGAGCACAAAACCAGATAATATGCAACATTAAAAAAAAGTTGCATTGAGAAAACGAGGATACCTGATCTGGCTGTAAATGAGCAGATTTTCCTATTTGAGGGCAGCATTGTTTTTAGCCCGAGAACTGCAGATTTGAATCATGCCTGAGCTGCAGGCACGGGGGAGTTCGTTCCTTTCTCCCACCCTGATTTCCTCAGTAACCACACAGGGCAGCTCGTCAATAGCCTCTCCACCCTCCTGCTTTGAAAACCAGCAGATAATTTTGATGCGTTTTGACAAAGTATTATTTCCAGGGTTACTAGATTCCAACAGTCAGTCTGAAGGCTATGTGGCCTGGCCAGGTCAAGTCATGGGTATTTACCTGGTCCCCAAGGAAGCAAGACATTGAGTTTGTCTTGTCCAGCAAGTCAGCAGTGACAAACATGTAAAGTGCTGGTACAGCACAGGAGTCAGGAACAGAGAGGAGACAGATGGAGACTAAAGATGCTATTGTATGAACAAGGGTAGGAAATGCCAGAAGAAAGGACAAAGTGGAGGGAACTGTGGTATGGCCAGAAAAGACGAGGCCGTGGGAAATCAGACCTTGTAGTTCTGGTGTTCACAAATTAAGTTTCCAAATGCATTCCTAGGTATGGGTTATCGTCCTGCTTTAAGCATAACGTTAAGGGAAGTACCTACTTCATTCTACTGGATTGCTGAAACAATAAACAGAGAAACCAAACGCAGAGTAACATGCTGCAATCAAGCAGCAGTGTTTACTGTTTCACAGGGCTCACACATGAGCACAAGGCTCCACAGCAGCCCAAAACATGGCAGCACCGGGCATCCCTTGCCAATACAAACACTTGCCAAGATATTAGCAGTCCTCTATTAACCTCTTCTCAGCCTCCACAGCAAGTTTAAACCTGTGACTCAAGTCAAACTTACCTCCCAAGCAGAGGAAGTCCTCTGGGACTCAGAACTGTGTGTAGTCTCTACCATGTTCCTCTAACACAGCCTGAACAACACCATTTCTACTCCCTTTATGTTCAGCATAGTGGTGCCCTCCCCATAGAAGTGTTTCACCAGCTCAAACATCAGCTCTCCTTACCTTCTGTGTCCACTCCTTTCCAAGGTAACTCTACTATCCCACCAAGCTCTCTCATCCTGCAAATGCTGACAACATCATTTGTCACATCAACCTTACTATAAGACAAGGAAAAGGTAAGAAGGGTTCCATTCCCCCACCTTGCCCAATTCACTGCAGAAGAACAAGTATAGTTCTGTATGTAGAATGGTGTTTTTAGACTCAGATTAAGTTCACTATTCAAATCTCCTTCCTGTCCCAGAAAATGAAGTCCATCCTATTTAATTTTTAAATAGTTTTATGCAAAACCTAGCTCTTTCCAAGGAAGTACCAAGCCGTAAATACTGTGTATGAGGTCTCCAGCTAAGGATTAGAATGAAGGTGACCTCTAGTGTGACAAAACTAATCCATTGTAAGAAATCCTCAGCAGAAAGTATTATGCTACCGCCTGAAGTTCTGCTTCCATGCTTTGAGCATAAACAGAAAAAGCCTTAGCTGGAGCAACAGACCAAGAGGCCAAACTGGCTGTAAGCACCTTTATAAAGTACATTCCAATCTGCTACACATCAATAGCTGAACATTTTCAATAGTGAATACAGTCTTAAATCAAAGCCAAGTGGTCAAAGTACACTCGCTGCTCTTTAGAAGGTGTGGGTGAGGCAAAGGCACACCTTATGTTTACAACATGACCCGCAGCAGCTGCACCAGCTATTGTTGTACAGGGCTCCAAGAACAAGCCTGGCACAGGCTTTAGGAAATACCCCAAGTGGCACAGTTTTTGAACGTGTGATTTGCACAAGTGCTGGCTTTGAGCAGGGGCTAGTAATCTGTAATGTCTTGAAAAAAAAGTGGAATTTTTTTGATTCGTACTCCACAGGTCGCTGTGACCACCTGTCAGTCCCTGCTCAAACACGCATTTGGTTTCAGAAACACCCCACTGTGGCGATTTCAAGAAGTTGCTTAGTTTAACAATGTAAGAACAATGTTTGTTCTGGATATGGGGGGAGTACCTCGCTAAGACCGAAATAAACACTGTTTAATAACTCCCCAAATACAGACATTCAGCAGACAGCTTCTAGATCACCTTGGTAACTTCCTGCAGCCATCCTACTTCACTACACTGAACTTTGCTCTCTCCTGTGCCAACAGCACCTCTCCAGTAAGTACAGCCAGGTCAAAACTGCACAGCTTCCTTCCTGTAAAAGTCTGTAAAAACAGGGTTATAACCAGAAAAGCCTTGTCACTGCAGATTGTCAAGCTGCCTATGATTTAACGCATCATTTGCGAAGTAGGACTTTAAACATACATTCTTATTTCAGGACAAGTATTTCAAAGTATATTTTATTGACACTCTTCAAACAGCCTGTTGGAAATAACAAGAAGGTAAAAACCTGTAAAGCTTCTAGCTTGCATTCAGTGTTAAAACTTAGAGGTATAAACAGAAGCCTGGAGTAAAAATATGAAGTACATTTCCAATCCCTCAGTGCAGAAAACTGGTAACAATGGTATTTACTCTATGTTAGAAGTGTTCCCATGTTCAATTCCAGATATATGGTTCTCTTCTATATATACTTCTGATAACTTATGTACAAATAAACGTCCAACATCTGTTCTTTAATATAAATATGTAATCTTTATGACTGAAATATTACAACAGTTTGATCAAAAGTATAGAAAAATCATTTTAATATTTTTTTCCTAATGGCAGTTTAAAAAAACCCACCCTTGAACCCAAATGACCTTAGAATGACAAGTATTTCTTCACCATAATAATACACTGCTCATTCAACATGCAAAGTATTATTGCATACATGAGTCACATGAATTACAACAACTAAGTCTGAAGGAAATGTGCTGTACAGCCCATTCTAGCAAGTGCTAGCTGTAAGATCATACATATCACAGAAGAAAGCGTAAGTACTAGTGTATTTTTAAATAAAACACGACAAACTCAAGTATTGTCCTCGCACTAAGACTTAAGGCAATCAAGACTTGGGAAGCTTCTTTTTGGCATAGTTGCATCAAGCTCTCCCTCTTTCCCCATTAATACATTTACTTTAACATATGAAAAATTATTTTTAGAGGGCTGCTGATGAATTGTTGCTATCCATTAATACAACTCAGTGTGAAGTGATAAGTCAGTAACAAAGTTTAATATCCCCAGTTTCACCGAGCTGATCAAATTAAGCAACAGTTTAACCACCAGCTAAGTTTTCCAGCAATGGATTTCTAAACTCCTATGAGAACAGAGAAACTATTCAATGTCTAAACTCTCAGTGTAACTGATTTTATGACTTGAATCCATTCTTGGTGTATTCTAGAATTTAAGGGTTCAAAATAGATTTGACAGTCAAATAATATTCAGCTTTAAAAAGGACAATTATTTGCAGTAAAAATACTTTATATAAACATACACACAGTAGATCCAAGTCAACAGGCATTTCTTTATGGCTTCTTTCACTGAGGTACTGTTATAACATCCAGCAACAGGATGCGAATGTCCTATGGTATAAATGCCACATTCATAAGCTGTACCACCAACCCATGGCAAGTGGCAACAGACTGCAAATCCTGCTTCACTGCAGGATTACAGGAAAAGAGTCTTCCCTGCTGTGTGGAGGGTCTCAGTGCAAGCTACAGAAAGCCTTAAAGGCAACTGGCATCCATGGGGGAAACTAAAAATGAAACTCTCACTCTACTGAAAGGAGAAAAACCACTTGTGGCAAATTAGAATCTCATAGTCAGGTCATTTTTTTAACATTACCAGCAAACTTAATATTCCAAGGCAGCAAGGGCATATAGCACAGCAGCACTAAGACTTGAAATGTGTCATCAAGCTCTTGCATCTCACCCTAAGCTGACTGCAAGCACAGGCTCAGAGCAGCCAACCTGTGACTGTGATATCACACAGACAAAACACTGTGAGAGGTTTATTCCTCAGCTATCAAAAGTTCATCTGTGAATGCAGTTAGTTCCACCTTTCGCTGTTTATTTTATGTGGAGGGGAAATGCAGATGTATTAAGTTCCTCATCACAGTACTTCCATTCCCAGTACTCTTAGCATAAGGGGAAGAGGTGTTATGTTAAGATGGCATGATTGTTGCGGTATGCATTTAGTATTCCACCTTTACAGCAGAAAGTATTCTTTTGTTGTTTTTCTTTTTTAAACAGGGTGGCCACGGGGTTACACCAGCCAAGACTCCTGTTTTTATTACGCCTATGCTAAAAAGACGTTTCAGCAATAAATATCTTCAGAGTGAAACAGAAGTTCAAAACATGCTCAGTTAATTATGGCAAGTAGTTCTTTCCAATCAAGGTTTTCTAACCCCACAAACCCATTAAACAGGTTGCAGATGCTCAACTTCCATACATGAAGATACAGCACAACATTTAAACTCAGAGCTTAGCCACATACAATCCATACTGTAATCTATATACATGTTATGACATATCCCCACTGAGATCAAGAAATTCGTCATCCCTCCTGACCAAGTCATCTTCATCTTCCAAGTCCTTCCAGGTGCTGGTGGGTAAAGCTGGTTTGACAGACTGTCTCTGGAGTAATGCAAATGGAAACAAGGATGACAAACGGGCAGAATTTCTCGGCGTGGTAACAGAATGTACATCTCCAGAAACAGCTTGACTATGTTCTTCTTCTATTTTCACCTGCAAACTTTGCACTTCCTCCATCAAGTCCAAAATCTTGGCAGTTATAGCTATTGTTCCACCACCATGAAGCTGGGCTTCAGGGATCCATCGTAAATACCGCTGTGCCCACACTTTGATTTCAGGGCCATCGATGCGAGGTAACAGAAGGCCATGATAGTCAACAGGTTTGCTGTGCCAGCTATCATAGAACTCCCTTAAATTATTGGGAGGCTCGTCTGAAGAATTTATGAACTTGCCAATTCTTCTACCCAGAATGTTTTTAATTAGATGATCTGTTTCCTCCCTGAAAAATCCTCTCTTTGTGGAAGGCTTTGCCTGCGTCAGTGGCAAAGAAAGTTGCCGTTGATGCTTTAAGAGGAAAGAAAAGAGAAATACTGAGATAAATATTGATGGGACTTCAGAAAGCAACTTTAAGAGGAAGAAAAACTTGTATTCAGAAATTACTTGCAAGCAACAGTCACTTCAACCATATGGCAAAGCAGTGGCTGTGTTTAAACCGTTCTTTCGGCTAATACACCAAATACCTCACAGAGCACGCTCAGTATTGCCAGATACCTTCCCTGCACTAACTGTAGCAATGAAGTAACACTGATAAAGCAATCTTCTCTGAAAAAGCCAAATCCTTTCAAGTATTACAAACTTCCCTGTTTAGTTTAAGCTAGTCACAAATCAAAGAGCACTTGATTTGTGCTTATGCAGTGGTTCCTTATTGCATTTCTCTCCATAAGAGATTAATGCTGTAGATCATATTGGCAGCGCCTCACTCAAGAATGCTTTGTACAGTAGAGAACTTAACCAAGGGAGAAATTTCAATTGAAAGAGGCAACTCCAAGCTCAGTTTTTTCCTGAGTTTGTGCTACTTTCCAGTAATGAGGTGGCCCACCCCTAATCTTCCACACCCCAGACAGTTTTTGCTGCACTCCCTCTCTGAGTGCACACATGCACTCCGGTTACACTCAGTCAAAATTAGGGAGGCAATTATAAACCTGCTATGTATTTTGGTTAGGTAGTCTGTGCAACAACAAAATAAACTCCCTTCAAACATGCCAGTGTAACTAACCTGAATGTTAAATCTCATGACTTACCGCTATACTTGCATAAAAGTATGAAGAAAAAGCCCTTAACTTCATGACTATGAATAGTTGCTGTAAAACAATTATTTACAACTGAGGTGGATGCAAAGTGGGTTCTTAAGATCCAGGTGAGTCTGAGGTGTACATGTATTTTATCAATTAAACCCCCCCCCCCCCTTCGTACCAACACTTCCACTGGGAGTAAATTTGAAATAGGAGATGTGCAAAATATTTCTATCATTAAAAAAAAAAGTTAAGCAGCACATATCTTACTTTGAATCGTGCAGTTTTCCGTTGACTTTTATCTGGTTTTGGTTTCTCTGCATAAAAAGAGTTGTTCAGAAAAGCTTGGGCCTTGGGGTCGAACTGCACAGACCAGTCCCACACGGTAAGAAATCTGAAAGGACCACTTTGTGTCTTGAGGCTTTCACCACTCTGCCAAAACAAACAGGTTACAATTAATACTGTTAGAAAGGAATTCTGACCAAGTCAAGGTGAAATTAAGAAACTGGCTTTTTAGAGAAGAGGCTACAGAGTTGCAACAATGCTCTTTTCTTTCTATATGTTCAATTACTGAACAACAGTGCAATTAGACTTTCACATTTGAAAATAAGGTTAAATAATCTAAGAAAAAAACCCAGTTTTCAAACTTGGGCATGAGACAGATTCTTCAAACATGGGTAATGTTAGACACTGCAGTTATGCAGTGCTACTTATTTAGATTTTGTGGTCGACAATTTATTTATGAAAGACAGCGGTGTTCCCTTTTTTTTTAGTCTCTGTGCAGCCTTGCAGAGGATACTTCCATTGCTTCCAGATTCTTAGGCTGGAGAAAAGCATAAACCAAATATAAAAATCAGCATTCAGGAAATGTTGATTTTGGAATACGACTGAAAATACTACACAAGAATTTCATAGATAACTTATTCTGAAGGACAGCCAGATATTCCTCTTAAGTTAAAGAGCTCTGTTTTCATTGAAGAGCAATAAACATGAAACTACAGCCACACAGGAGAAGTAATAGATCCGTTCTGTCATCATAAACTCTTAAGTCCTGAACTCGACTCCTTACAGCCAAAGTTACACTCACTCACTTTGATAAGTATGAAAAGAGGTGCTGCTAGGGAATTAGCTTTTTTGAGTTTTCCCTGCTTCTTAGTCAAACTTGTTCTTCAACACTCTCCATCCACAAAATAACAAACCCTTACCGTACTGGTGTCTCTTTGATGTTGGGAGTTGAAGAAGAAAGTGCTAAAAACAGGCACATAGAGGCTGTCTGACAGGACAGTTAAGTAAGTTTCTGTGAACTCAAATGCTGGAGGATACTGTTGTACCAACTGCCAAACACAATTTAGCAGGAGCAGAAAAACAGGAGCCTAAGTAAAGAAAATATTGCATCAGTTTCAGAAAAAAAAAAAATTGTTCCACCATGAAGACTATTTATTTTACAGTATTTAGTGTCTCCAAATACAAGTCTTAAGGCAAGAAGCCTGGTTAACTCCAGAACTGCTGCACATACATTTGGCTGAGCTCTGAAGAAGTATCATCTGAGCTACCCTTGGGCCAACTGTTGACAGATAAGATGAGCCCTTCCTACCCTGAATCTGAAAGATGCCACTATGCAGCCTACTAAAGTTGGCAAAGCAAAACTAGTTTATAGCAATTCTTGATCAGTTTACACCTACTATTTCCATTCTGTATAGCCATCTGATCTAATCCCAAGATATAAACAAACATGGAGAGGTGAGACTGCAAAATTTAGCAAGACAGCAGAAGTTGATCTTTGGATGTAACACGAATAGGCAACTCATTTGACTTATTTCTATGGAGATTACTGCCATTTAACACAGTTTTCAAGGACAGAAGATACATGACTTTCAAAAGGCTACAAAATTAAAGAGAACAAATATAAAATTTCCCATTAAGTTCAAGACATTGCTGACCTCTAAACAGCAAAAATAGTAAAACTATCAACCCATAAAACAAAACACAAAAGATCCTGAGTAACTGTAACTTCTGGACTAACAGCTAAATTCCTCCTTACATTGAGTAAACTTGTAAATAGTAAGCAAGGAATGTAATAAAATCATACCTCCTCTTTTTCACTTCTGCGTAAGTGGTTACAGCGATCCAAAAAGCTATGTCCTCCAATTACCCACTCCTTCTGAATAAGGCTCTGAAACCCTGACTTTGTTCTGCTGTATGAATCCATCATCACTTGAACCAGACTAGATATCACACAGCACAGATCAGTAGCAGTCTCTTCTGCAGAAGAGAACAGAAACCATATTATCTACTAAGCCACTCCTAAAATCTTGTGTAAAAAAGCAATGCACTGCTATCTTAGCATAAACAAAATTGTATTTCAAGATCAGAGAAACAGGATTTTTTGCAAGTGTTACACCATCAGAGAAGTTAATCCACGTTTCCAGTACTTCTGTTTGTAAAAATGTAAGGTTGTTTCTACATTTATACTAGGAAAATACTGTGACAATAAAACCTGCAGACCCCAAGCTTTTACTATTATAACTTAGACACCTGCACTCTGCAGTCTCACACACTACACACACACCAGTCCAGCTATCCCTCCTTACCCCTCCTATCCTCCATGAGTCTTTCCACAAGGTGTGAAACTGCCTCCTCATGCAACATGCATTCTTCACCTTTCAGCTGCCTCCCAAAACCACCTTTTTTCTGTGCCAGGTTTCTCAAATGGCAACACATGGGAAAAAACCAATCCAAGAGTAACTTAATGGTTAACATTAGGTTTGGTTTTCTGTGTGATTACTTTATTTAATCTAAGAAAACAAACTGCTCAACATGTGTACAGTAAGCATATTCTTTCATTTATTTTTCATGAAGAGACTACACAGTATTCAGTGTGTATCTAGAACACAAAAAAGTCCTTTTACAAACTTTTCACATTACTAGTCCTTTGTGTAGATATGGTCCCCCTCCCTCAAAGTATAACAAAGAGTCTGGGAGACCTTCAATAACATAAATTAGGAAGCAGGAATGCTACATCTTCTTTATGCATGGCTCTCCTGCAAATTTATCAGCAGTTCTCATTCACATCATATTTCTCTTAGCCTGGAACTATGCTTACCAGGTTTTTTTAACTAGAGGAAGCATTTCCAGGAGCATAAGAGATTTAGGGGTCTAGTGCTTCAATACTGTATGAATTTTACCAAGTCCCTACCGTAATTATAACCTTACAGCTTAAGTAACTGAAATGAATCAAAATAAATTTTAAAAAATAAATATATAGGACAATCTCATTAAGTTCTTACCTATAAGGAGAACGTTTGTATGCTGCCTTTCAAGACACTCAGCAACTTCTATTGCTTTCTTCAAGACTCTCCTGTGGTGGTACAAGAAAAGTTAAGGGAATGTTTTCATAGCATTTTTACAATTAAGTCTCTTACATTAGTTTCCCCTAGACAGGGTTAGAGTGCCATACTTGAAACTTGACTATTCCTTTAAAACACAAACCCCACGCTCAGCTTGTGTAAATGAAGAACTGTTTAGCTTCAAGAGCATCTTATTTGTCCACTGACCATGCAATTCCAGTCGTTATACAAAACACTTCATTCTGGACCAACAGCAGCCATCACTGAAGTATTACAACTGCTAAGGGCCAGATCTTTACCCTGGAAAGAGTCAACATCACCACAATTTAAGTTCTAATGTACTACATAATACATTTCTTCCATAATCTGGTTTTAAGAGGCAGAGGGAAGGATGAGCAATCAGATCTTGTAAATGCACTGACAAAATTTATTTAGAATTATCATAACACAAGGAAAAATGAGTGGAATTAAAGATCACAAAAACCAGATGTAACACTGTTGGTTTCTAGATCTAAATCTTCATCAAGTTGGTTATTTCTAGCAAAAGCCTGCGCACAAATTAGGGTTCTTGCAACTGCTTAGGTCACTAGTAGAAGCTGACAGTTAATTTCCTAAGAGTGGAATTGTCAGATTCTTTGTTCTAGCATCTAGAACAGCTGAGCAGGCATTCCTACAAACTGCAAGAGCCAAGACCAGGCTGATCCAGGAAGCAACTGGATCCAAGTATGGAAATGACCAGTCTCAAAACAGCCTAAGGATAGGAACTTGGGCTGGCTTACACTTTAAACTTGTGCTCTTGGTTATGTCAATGAGTTTCTCAACACATGGTCTTCGCTAGAATCTCTTATTAAACATACATTTAAATTCTAAATTAATGAATTGATAACTACTGATATTTATTGATTAAGACTAGAAGGGACTGGAGCTGACTACAGAAGTACTTCATGGTAACAAGCTGACCACAGAATAAACTGACAGACAAAAGAGCTAGCACAAAGCAACACTGAAAACAAATAAAGCTCCTCAACATTTCACTATAACAAGCCTTCAGTTAGCCAACACCATTCCAACACTTACTCACTGTGGACTGCTGAGAGAAGAAAAAAGAACTTGAGGAACAATCAGGACAGGAAGGGGACAAAACTGAGAACAACTGTCATTTTATAAATCTTTGGTGGGATAAGATCTTGAACACTGCAGTTCATCCCGTCCTAAAGGATATTGCAGAAGTAGAGAGTACAGAGAAGAATGGCAAGGCTAGTCAGAGACACGGAACAGGTTTCATGCAAGAAACAAATAGGATTCTTGAGTTTGGAAAGAGGGTGACTTAGTGCAGGAGAGAAATTACTGGATCTGTATTTTTAATAGGTTTGCTGGAAGAATTGTAATTGGAATGATCTCCTGCTTCTCACATCCTTTACTGTGGGAGGCTTTACACAAACCTGCACTGTAAAAAACACTGTCTCAAGTTGCAGAAATAAAATATATAAATGGGACCATAAGTCTGTCTTAATTTTTTTTTCCTACTGGTGGTAAAGAATGTTGTTACATTTCAAGAAACCAGCTACAAAATCCACTACAAATGCATTTATCAACAATTTTGAAACACAGAAAGCTGAGGATATAGCAAACCTGATTATCTCTAGCCAGTTTGTGCTCTCCAGTAATGAAAACCATTTCACATCAGTTGCCCAGAAGTCTGTACTGTTATCTGCAAAAAACCCCCAAAACAAAACAAAAATTGGTTTATTCACATATATGTAGTGCTAATTAACAGCCATCCACGGTATTACCCTTCAGTTATGAACCAATACAAAACAAGCAATACCAAGGAGTCAGCAAGTACCAATCACTGCTAAAGTTGACACTTTATAACTCAAATGAGGAAATGAAGTAGTCCTACAAACACCAGTAAAGTTTTATGGCACCATAAGCTTTTAGAAAAAGTATGCTGAAGGTTCATAGCAATCAAACCAGGTAAATAAACCTGTTGACAAAATGTGAAAGGACAAGAAAATAAATTCATTCAGAGATGATGATCTATATAAAGCTTAACATAAGGAGGCTGGATTTTTAAAGTCATTACCCTCTGAGCCAGAAATGTCAATCGGTTTTAGAAGTAGGTAACACAAACTCATGGAATGTAAAATTACCTGAAGAAGGTTTTAAACAGTTTTCACTGCAACTGAAGAGGCATGAAAATACATAAAAAGGAACAGCTAACAAACTGGAAAGCAAATTACCATACCATAAATTCATTAAACTCTTAAAAATTTCACTAGAATTTCTATAGTTTTTTTAAATGCAACCTAAGTGTCCATTGCTTTTATTTCTATCAAAGCCAGTAAACAGAAATTGGAAAGCTCTCACAAGTTGATACAGTCAATTAAAACCAGAATACATTATCTTTCCTGCATAAGCCAAATCTTGAAGCCCAAGGTCTGACAGTTCTACTACTGAGAAACCGCTGATACGTCTCACACTTCCCTCCTTCCCACCCTTCCCAGGATAGCTTCGGTTCTGCATGTTTCTGTGCAACTGCTCACCTCCCAAAAGTCTCTCCGTGTACTTCCAACATTTAATTCCAGCCCATATATACTTGTGTCTGTTCTGCATCTTTTATCTATGATCCTCAAGTACATAGGCACATACCTGTTTTGTTCCTGTAGCTGTTCTACCTCCATGCCTCTGCCCCTCAACCCTGTTCATTACACTTAAAGTCTTCCTTTCCCCAATTCCTTTCACCCTGACCATAGAAACTAGTTCTCCAAAAACGCATAGGAATGCGCCTTCAAAGCTCCCTAGTGAGCTCTCCTCACATTATACGCAGTTTTGATCTATCTCCCCACCTTGCAGAATTTCTTCCTAATACCTAATCTAAACCTCCCCATTCCCACTTGTCCTGCCACTACATGCCCTTGTCAAATGTCCCTCTCCAGTCTCCTTTAGGTCCTTTTAAGTACTAGTTTTAGGTACTGGACAGTGCTATAAGGTCTCCCTGGAGTCTTCTCCTCTCCAGGCTTAGCAACCCCAACTCTCTCAGCCTGCCCTCATAGGAGAGGGGCTCCAACCCCCTGATCATCTTCATGGCCCTGCTCTGGACTCAGTCCAACAGCTTGACATCCTTCTTATGTTGAGGACCCCAGAGCTGGATGCAGCACTGCAGGTGGGTCTCGCTAGAGCAGAGCAGAGGGGCAGAATGCCCTCCCTCACCTGCTGCTCACCATGCTTTGGATGCAGCCCAGGACAGGATTAGCTTTCTGGGCTGTGAGTGCACATGGCCAGGTCAAGTTACCTAAATCAAATTAGCTGAGCATGTACAGGACACGAATAACGGTTAACATGTTCAGACTTTAAAAGTAAGCAAAGAGGTAGTAAAATTCTGTAAGATCTTAGTACTTCTGCAAAACGTTACCTGAATGTTTTTCTCAGACTGTCAGTGCATAGTGCCATATTCAGTAGGGTACAGTCTACTAACAAACCTTATTTAAAAAGCCGTAAGACAAAAACACTTAGTGTTTTTGCATCAATAGAAGACAATAATACAATTACATCACTGAAACATGCAGTATTTCCTGAGAGATGTTAAATGACTTAAATTCAAGCTTTGGCCTTTTTCATATAGGAGGATATAGAAGAAGGGTGTGAGTTACCAGAAACTACATTAACAGATAGGTATTTATTTTTAGCTCTTAAGATTCACTGCGGATTTGACAGTGTATTCTGGACAAAATCCTCAGTGCGAAACTCTGGTAAATACCTCATATTGCAAAGTGGAGTGGAACTTTCTTCATGTCAAGAGGTGAGGTCAAAGTACTGTTTCATGACAGCAGAAGAGTTAAAGAGCCTCAAAAAAAAGAGCCTGTAAGTCTGAAGTACACTTTCTCATGGATCCCATTTTACTCCTTTCAAGTGGACGAAATTTAAGCACCATCATGTTTTGAGATGCGACTAATGTACAACAAAAGCCAGGGCAAAAATTAAACAGCATTTAGACTCAACTCTTAACATAGCACAAAGGCTAAAGGTTGACACTTAACATTCAACTTCAGTGGACCACAGAAGACTGGAAAAATCTCTCCTATGAACTTCACTCCAGCTGGTGTATTCCAACTAACAGACACCCTCTTTAAAAGTCAGTCATTTTCAGATACAGCTTAGCAAGAGGTAGTTAAGTCTAAGAACTACAAACCTTCATTAATGTGCCAGACATAAGCACAGTGTTCAGTTACATATTTTAAAATCTTCTTTTAACCACCCTCAAAAGCAAGACACTGTAAAAATGACTGCATTTATGAGACATGGCACAGCCTTGTTATGCTTTGCTTTAAAATTTAACTTACCTATCAAAAACAGCTGTTTAAATCTTGTATATGCAGTCTGGATATCTTGCAGAGATGGAAGGCTGCTTGACAAGTCATCCACCTTCAGGAGTTCATAGGGAGGTTTGCTAATTGTCTTATAGATTCTAAATCAAATCATTAAGAGATTAAAGCCTTCTGCTTCACAAGTCAAATAATGCAGCAACTATTATCACTGATGACAAAGTTAATAGGCATGGTTTGGGAAAGAGCTGTAATATCAAGAGATAGTCACCGTGGAAAGCTAGTGGCATCCATGCATTTGTAAGTGCTGTCTGAAAGCTTGCCTACAAGCTTATAACAAGGTTTGATGCGTTTAACTGTTACACCAGTAAAATTACATTCATGCCTATTTGTGCAGCTACAAACATTGTAAGCACTATTTGATTATCTTCACCAGACACACCAAAATCACTTTACTAGCAGGCTACTAGAGATCAAACCCAGAAAGAAAAGATGGATAGAAACACTCAACTCTCCCAGTAGAAGCTTACAATTTCTCTTGACTTCTACCAACCAAATTACATTCTGATACCCAGCTGCCAGGTCTGCTAATGAAACATATGAGTAAAAGAAAATTTGGACACAAACAAGACAATATACCTTGCACTTCCCTAGGTATCTGCTATTTTTTTCCCTTGAAGGAGAGGAAAAAATATCAGACAAGATGAAGCTTTGGTTTGGACCCAGAACATCCCCTCTCACTCAGGTTCCAGAGCTCAGATGAACATCAGTTTAGTAAATATGTCTGCTGTCATGCTGGCTTTTTATTGTCAAGACCTGGGAAAAGCTGCTCTAGCTCATAGTTCAGAAGTGAAGCCTTGTGGGCACTTTTCCAGGCAGGACAGAGTGCTTTGTTTCCTGTATGCTGTAGCACAGAAACCTGTTTTAAGTGAGAACTACAGGCATCCACATCAGAAACACAGGTTACTAGACCTACTGGAACATGCCTCAGATCAAAGAACTGAGGGAAAGCAATCACTGGTTAAATACAGTACTTCTTCCAAGTGAAGTAGTAAACGAGTAAACAATTTGTGCTGGAAGATCTGGCTCTGAACAGCTTTTTCAATAAGATAAGTTGTTAATTGTAAACACCTGCTTTGTGCCTGAGTTGCAACTACTGTTACAACAGCACGTTAGCACACCCTCAGGGACAATTTGTATATATATTTTTAGATACGAGTAGTAAAGCACCAGTACTCCACAGCAAAAAAAAAAAAAATAACAAATCAGCAATACTAGCCGAAGTTCAAATGACTCCAGAAAAGGGATAAAAGTATCAGTCAATACCTTGTAACAGCTTAGTATAGTTTTACTTATTTTTGCATCATGAAATAGCATTAGAGTTCTAAGCCTTGTAATCTTCCCCATTTCACATGAGAAGCATTAAAGAATCTGCAGGAAGAGTCAAAAGCCTTTTCTATGCAAGTATCATTAATTTTATAAACAAAGGGGGTTTTAAGAACCCAATCAAGATATTTTCTGTTAGTTCTGTGTGATTAACAGGCCTTTCATCTTTGAGGAGCAAGGAGCTGATGTTGAACATACAGACTGTACATATGAGTGATCAAAAGCTGGTTGCTAAGAGAAGTTCTCTCCAGGACACCCAACAGGTTAAAAAAGCCAAGACCGAAGAGCAACAAATCATCACTGTAACTCTCAGGTCAGGCAGCTGTGCTCCTTCCATTAAATTAAACTTTGCATTTTTCAAACTGCTAAACTAATTCAGTTCACTGCCTCACCTGAAAAAGCACTGTCTGGCTTCACATCTGAAAGCTGCAGCAGTGAACTGCTAGGCTGTCTCAAGAGATTTTTAGATCACTTTGTCTATAAAAACACAAACCTAGTTCTCAGAAGATAGCAGGAGTCTTAAAAACTCAGCTTGCAAATCCATGTTTAGAGATGGAGTCTAGATTTTTCCCACTTGCAAACAGAATTGAGCCCATCAGTTAATAATATTTCAACTGTACTTAACACCTACAGGCTTTGGTGCTGCTTGTCCTAAATAACACACCATGGTTTGTAGAGAGATTACTCAGGTATGTATACATACTTCCACAAAAAAGCCTTCAGTGAAGTTCCAGTCCTGCACAACTGACCAATGCCGTGGAGTCAAGGGCTTAAACACATTCCACTACAGAAAACTACTTTCAGATCTAGAACTTGTTTCCTGATGTGTGAAAGCTTAAAAGATATAGCATATATGGAAAAAGAGAAGCAAGGTCCATACCAAGCAAAGTGTTGTGGACAGAATAGCTATTACTGACCCATCCAAGAAGGCTTTTTGCATTTGTGAAGTGCTGTCATCCTGTTCTTTGGGAAATGCAGACATTTTGAGAAGAGCAGCACCATTATGGCAAGACCAACACCAAATCTGCAGAAAGACATTTATCAGGTGATAAAAATTAGTAAATTGTCCCATACAAGATATTTGCTTTACACAAGAAATTTCTCTATGCTGTGCTTCACTGAGTTTTTGATGTATTCAAAAGCTCCATCAGTAGAAGCAAATCTACACCTGCACCAAAATTACATGCCTCAGTACACCATGTTACCACTTGCAAGTTTTAAGTGAAGTTTTAAACTTACACAGACACAAGGAAACAAAATGTCAGATTATATAAAAACCCTACTTTCTCAACTGCCCTCACAGGTAAAAAAAAGTGCATGGCCAAAATACATTGGAATATATGCCACAGCAAGACAGCACTTGTAAGTAACTTATGTATTTCATCCATCAGTTTCTCCATACTGATAGCAGGTTTTTTTTTTATAGTTCAGCCTTAAGATAACTCACAATAGATGCACTGATATGTCTTTCCACATGAACTATGCATAAAGGGTCATTTAGGCATATGAAATAAAAATTAAACACTCCAAAACTGAATCAGATTGCCTAGTCCCAGGTACTCCTTGTAGCAAATCAGTCCTCAAAGCTTCTTACTTCTCTTTACACAATTTCTTGACTCACACCTACTCCTTGAAGTTCTCGAGCTCATCTTTAAACTTGTTTTGAAGCGAGGAGTAAGAATCATTTTGAACAGGAATATCACACAGGGCAAACTGGGAAGCTGAAGATCTGCTACCAACTCACAGTAAGCAAGGGGAGCAACTCAGAAGGATGCAGGAAACTCACAATCATCAAGTGTGAAAAAAATTACTATACTGTCCTTTCACTGCCTTCTCAAACCACCTTAATATTGTCAAGCTATCTTTAAACTACCTTCACAAAAGTAATTTGGAAATAACGAGAAGAGTTCTACAAGGCCTCTGAACAGTGGACAAGAGCTACAAATGCTGTCATCCGTCCTGTTGGAACAGGTCCAGAGGAGAGACACAAAGGTCATCTCAGCCTGTCTCTATAGCAGAGGTGCCCCAGCCCTCTGATCATCTGGGGAAGAAAAGGGTCTGGAAGACCTTATTGTAGCCTTTCATTACTTAAAGGGAGATTGTAAGAAAACCTGGGAAAGGCTTTTTCCTAAGTCCTGCTGTGATAGGACAAGGGGTAATGGTTTGAAACTAAAAGATGGTAGATTTAGGACTAGATACAGGGAAGAAACTTTTTACAATGAAGGCAGTGAAACACTGGATGGAACAGGGTGCCCAGAGAGATGGTAGATGCCCCAGGAAACATTCAAGGTCAGGTTGGACAGAGCTCTGTGCAGCCTTATCTAGAAGATGTTTCTGTTCATTCCAGAGGGGGATTGGACTAGATGATGTTTAAAAGGGCCCATCTCAACCCAAACTATTCAGTGATTCTATGAATGCAAGATGGAATAAAAAAAAAAAACAAAAAACAAACCAACAAGCGAAAACACTTCTGTTTGTGTGTAACAGCCAGTGTAATATATCTCTGACACTGAGACAAATTGAACCGAACTTTTAGTCAGCACAACACAGTACCATCTTCTCTATGGACCAAATAATTTAAAGGCATGAAATGAACATGGGTTTCCTTGGCAAATCTGACGGACATGCAGCAACTAAGGTAAGACTTTACAAGTGAGATTGCTTTGCTCCTTGTTTCCATCTACTCAGTCTTACTGGTTCTTAAACTACAAGGTAGGAAGCCAAAGCCAGCTTGCTACAGGGTGCAAACCAGTATATTTAACTTCATTTTCTGTTGGACTGGTAGAACTAGTTTTTCAGTTGGGTTACTTGACTTTGTAAAAGTACTGCATCATCACAGCCATACCATTAACCAGCACCCAAGCCAGGTAACTGGAGGTATTCACCTTCACCTTACAAGCATGGTCTTCACCTCAATATCCAAACAGTATTTCAAGTCCTACATCCTGCCCCAGCCAGATGCCAGTCAGTACAGTCTCATGAAAAACAGGCTGACGGACAGAAGGATTAGTAGTATTTGTAGTCTATAGGAACATTGACATCTGACGTAAGAAAATAGGAACTGTGAATAGTAAATACATATTTTGCTGTTATGTCTTTGCTACGTATTACCCGGTTTAGTGAAATACAGAATACTTCGAGCACCTCTCCTTTCAACATCTGTTTCCCTTGAGTAGATGGCCAGGTATATTCAACATGTAAGCTGTTGAAACAAGTTCTGAAATAATATGCAGTCACATCTGAAATGCTAGTTGAAATTTTGCCATCTCAGTAAGATTTCTTACCCTCAGCCATGCACATACTTACAGGAATGCCTCTGCCTTCATACTTCAAGATACTCTCTTCAGAAATGCATATGGGAACAACAAAATACAAAGGCAGCCTAAGATAACAAAGGAGAGTTTATTGGTCTTAAAAATTAAACAAAGAACAATATCCAACCTTTTTTAAATGATGGTGAGTATTCTAGCCCACATGCTAATTATATATTCATTCTTACTGCTACAATAATCTTTCCAATCAGACAATTATATTTTCCTCAATGCTGTTCCTTTATTTTCAGCTGAGCAAGGTATTTTTTTCCAATCTTGATCTCTTAATTATTTTCCCTGAAACTTTCCTCTGTCTTTCCAAGGTTGCAATTAAATACTACATTTAACTGTAACCTCTAAGACTGATTGTAAAGACCACCTTGGTTTTCTCATGTTTTGTTGTTTCAAAAGATACCCTTGCAGTATTAGATAACTACTCCTGTTTCCAGGCCTTTTAAGCAGTTCACATCCTAATTCAAGAATGTAATGTAATATATCATGGATTTCCAGCATTAGCCAACATTATTTATATTCAAGGCCCAGAGAAGCAACAAAGGTAAGTACTCTTAAACTTGGTTAGGGTCTCTCAAAACAGTTGTAGAATAAATAGTTAAGACTTGTTTGAATGTTGGTATTCATTTCCAAGATCTGTGAAGCCTTTCAAGATTCGACTATTAAACAAAACAGCAGTAGTATACAAAGGTTTGTATACATTCTAAAGGGTTCACCAATAGATGCTGCTCAGCTAATCTGGTAACTAAACTCAGCTAACCTTCTCTTAAAGGCAACACAGCTTAACCTCCACTGACACATTTTGCATATACACTTTAAACCAGGTACTCTTTCCCCATCCAGCCCCCCTCAGCTAAATCAGTGAAAAATCTCCAGTGCATCTCCCTTGAAATTTTACCAGAGTAAAGGTGCAGGATTGAGAAAGTGTCAACCTAACCAGTATGATAGCAGTGTTTAAGTCCCAGACCTACATATTTCCTATTCCATTTTAAGGTGGTATTCTCCACTCCCTGTCCTGCACAAAGCTTGACTGACCAAGGTCCTGAGTAGTCTGATCTCCTATTGAAATTAACCCTGCTTGAGCTGGGGGTTGTGTAAGATCACCTCCTGAGGTCACAAAGTTAAGTATTTCACAAATAAAAATGGAAACCAGATCCTAAAAAGAGCCCTAAACAACTGTATAATACTCAGTATCAAAAGCAGCACTGATTTTTGCAAATCCAAAGTTCACTATTCATTAGGGCAAGCTTACTTCTCAGACACTCTGTAGCCTTCATTGGTGATCACTGCTTTGTATTTCACATTCCCTTTGGTCCGCTCCAACTCATCACGCCAGTCCTCGAGTGTATCAAACATCACAGTTTGGTTTCTTCCATCTGTCAGATATTCGATAATGTTAACTTTGCAGACTACAAGGAACTTTTAACACAAAAGCATTCCTAAATAATGGAGTTGGTTGCCACTAAGGTAAGCAAGCAAGACCTCTTGTGTGCAGAAAGTCAAAGATAAAATGCCTTTTGTACACCACGCTGTCTCTGTTTGATCTTTAATAAGACACCTTTTGTCAAATACTGCTGTGACTAATAACTTCAGGAATAGTTTCTCCTACAGGAACTAATTAGTTCTCACAGAACTCCCAGAGAGCTGAGGCTGTTCTCATATCCAGCTTAGAATCCAGGATATTGTGCAGCAAATAACATTTTATACTAATGCTGCTGGACTGGCATCTAATAATATAGGTTTAAATGCAGAATTCACAATCATATCAAAAACCTTTCTACAAAAATTCAGATACTGCATTTCATTTAAAGTTCATTCTTTTATGATGGAGTTTTGCATTGAATAGAACATCTCAGGCACTCGATAAGAGCAGAAAATTGATTACACCAATTCAGTCTCAATAATTTCAACTGAGAACCTTTCCTGTAGTTATATTTAGCCACCCCAGCAACAGTTATGACAACAGCTTGATTCAGCCTCAAATCTTGTATAATAACCATATAATTTATGGAGTAATGTCAATTGTTTTAGGCACACATCATAGTTAAGTAACATCCTGCAACATCAGCTAACACTGAAATGCCAAACAGAGCTAGAACTTCCAGTGAAGATATAATGGCAACTTGAAACTTTCCACTGTAAGAAGATAAGGCTGATGAAAAATTTACAGCTTGAAACAGAACATTATTAATGAGCTCTTAGAGAAAAGTTACAATTTTTAAAGTATCAGACCATAAGAGGCATAAAAATCAATTTCTAAAGTTTACTTGGTTTGTCCTGTAACAATTTCATAAAGGATGAGACCTAGACACTTACAATTGAAAACAGTTATTAAAGCATGAAAGAATTCTGGCACAGCACTCCAATGTTGCTATAAAGACTAGGCTTCTCCCAGATTTCTCAGTCTCTCCCTGGAAAAGCTCAGTCTTTCTGATGTTTGTAGCTGAAACTGAACACCAGTTACAGGTAAAGTCTGCAGCAACTACCCGAGCCAGCAACAGGCCCTTGCAGCAAAGGCAGACAGTGTATTCTTGGGCTGCATCAGAAATCCACTGCCCACCACCTGAATGAAGTGACCATTGTTCTCAGCCTCCATAACTGAAGGGCTGTGTCCAGCGCTGGGCTCCCCAGCACAAGGCAGGCACAGGGTTCCTGGGCCAAGCCCAGTGAAGGCCCATTGTCTTCACTGAAGGGCTCAAAGCACCTGCTATGAGGAGACACAGAGCTGGGATCATTCAGGCTACAGAAAAGCAGGCTCAGCAGGGGCACAGAGGGGGCAAGAAGTGTTCCCAGCCTGTATAAACATCTGACTAAGAGTGGAAGCAGGGGAGGAGAGTACAGAAGATGACTCTAGACTCAGTGACATGACAAAAGGCAGTTATGCACAACCTGAAATACAGGAAATTCCATTTAAATGTAGCAATAAAATTTTTCACTACAAGGAGGGTCAAATAATGAAACAGACTGTCCAGAAAGGCTATGGATGTATGTGAAACCCAACTGGACATGACCCTGGTAAGTTGCTGTAGCTACCCCTACTCTGAAGGGGGGCAGATGGACATTGCTCCAGAGGTTTCTTCTAATCTCAGTGATTCTGAAATTCCTTGACATATTTTGCTAACTGTCTGATTACTTCCTTGCATACATCAAAAACTTCCCTTAGTGAAAGGAATAGGTGTTGCTGGTGCACTGAGGATCAGGTTCCTAGTTCAAAACAGCACTATTGAGGTCTGAACTGCAGAATGTTAAAAAGATAACTTTTTTATCTTGAATTTTGCAGCTTACTTTATTAGTCAGCCCAGTTTGATCAAGAGGGAAGATTATGTAATAAATCAGCTTCATGAGGAAATCAGATGTCTTCCAGAATCCTGCTATGCAAACCTATGCTTTTTTTGCAGTTGCCTGGAAGCAGCATATTGCTTGCAAATGAGAGCAAAAAGGGAAATACTTTTTGACACGATGCCACTGCAAATGCAATAATTTCAGAATTAAGAGCAGGAAGTTTCGTTCACAGCAATAGTACAGGAAAAACCACATTGATAAAATACACAAAGTATTTTGTAGATGAACCACGTGAAAAGCATTTGCATATATTGGTCACAGTAAGTTTTCAATCCAGGGGTGCTACCCTTGCTTGGAAAATTTCTGTGCAACTACCCAAAGGACACAGACACCAACAGCAGACAATTTAGAGACTCTGAACAAGTCTAACACGGGAAAAATTAATCTTCTGAGGCTATCTGCCAGCAGGACAGAGTCATAAGCCAAGCACACACTCAAATACTAAACATCCCAGACTGCTTAAGGAACTATGCAACAAACAGATAAAAAAATAGAAAAACATTTACCTGTGTTGTTTGGGGCAGCTGATGCATAAGAGAACAGAAACAAACGTTTAAGCAGCTTAGGAGTCTGGCTATGATGAACTATACCACTGACGATCTAGAAGAGGACCAAAAATTAACACCCAAACACACACCAAGACTATCAGTGTTAAAAATGTGATTTTTTTTTTTGCCACCCACTCCATCCAGGTTTTAAACAAAACTCATGGATTCTATCCCCAACAGCTGAAAACTGACTTCTAGTAAGCTTTCTCTGTTGTCTGCAAGACACTGTATCTACTTGGCCTAAGTAGTATTATATATGTTCAACTTCCAGAATTACTCGTATTCAAATAAAACTAGTAGACATCTAGTTTGGAGTTCAGATTAACCTGTCAAAAGAACTGAAGTTATCAGGAAGCTAACAGCTTTCATAAGAAAAAGGATGAAGTCTAAAATATAATGAAATTACACATCACAAATAGAACAGCTTTACAAGTCTGCCTGAGCTGAAGCTGATTTCCTGCAGCACTCTAAAGTTCCAGTTTTCTTTAAAGAGCCAGTGCATCTGATCTTTTAACTGCTACACATAATGACATTCAATGAAATCAGTCTTTCTCAGAGGTGATCAGAGTAAGTTTTTTTAAATTATCAGAAAATACTTAAAGTTTCAGGGATCTCTCATGCTGAATTTTACCCTTCTCTCATCCTCACAAACACTCAACACTAAGCTTAAAAATAGAAAAACAAATTAAGTTACTATACTTACTCTTTTCACTTCCTCTTCTTTTGTGTATCTCAGGCAAAAATTAAATACTCTAAGATCTTTACAGTAGATAATTAACCTTTCTGGGTATTTTCTCAGCTGTCCAGTTAGAAGTTTCTTTTTCTCATCATAAACTGTAAAATTAAAAAGCCCAAGTAAACATCAAAAATATATTTGCCATCTGTTGATATAGTTGTACCTGTCTGACTCTTCAGAATTCTCAATAAACTATTTCAAGTCCAAGTTTTAGCAAGAGAAAACAAGTATAATACAACACAGGTAGGCACACTCTTGTGTTAATATACTCAACCTTTTCTTTTAAACCCCTCAAATTACTTCATACAAGGTAGAAAACAAATCTGTAGCAAACCAGCTGCAAAGCACTCCTTGATTTACCTGAAAATTAAAACCAAGACCTCGTTTTAGATCTCCTTTAATATGTTGAAGATATCATGGATTTCATAAAACAAAGTTCCCTTAGACAAACAAGAAGTATTGTTTGGTAATTTGGTACCTGTACTGCTCTGCAGTGCCACTGTTCAAATGAAGTGAATACCTCCACATTTACAGGAATAGTTGATACACTGGAAGATCCTTGTGCACCAAACTTAAGAGACTTTTCACAGTACATTCTCTGGTTTGAATCATTGTATTTTGAAGGGATTGTTCTGTTTGTCCCAGCAAGATAATTAATCAAATTAATTCAATCAAATAAATTAAAATTAATTTGACAAGCTTGAAGGATCAGACTGGGTTCTGAGAGATTTTTTATCTGTCATTTCATCATGAAATATAACTGCAGCTGCTTGTTCTAGACTACCCAATCCTAGTTTCCAAAGTGACAAATCTATCAGTTTTCTAAAAACAATGTACATGTAAAAGGAGCACTACAAAACACCTCAGAGGAGAAAGCTGACCTACCTCCATAGATTTGATCTACACATTGCAGGGTTATGTCATTTTCTCCTACAATTTTATTCTTAAATTCTGGTTCCTAGAACATAAAAAAAATATTCTTAGAAAAGTCACACTGCTAAGCAGTAGCACCTTCTCACAAGTAAAGGATGCATTCAGTACATTAATATCAGCAGCACTTCTTATTCTTACAAGCTGTGTAAGGCAGAACACTGAAAATAGTTATTAAAATACAAACAGATGCAGGTTACACAGACATAGTTTGTAAACTGCAGATACAGTTTTTTTAAGTCTCAGCCATGCTTGAAATGTAGACAGAGATTTTATTTTTCCAATAGCTTCAAAGCATGTATTTCTATTGAGAGTCACTTTTCAAAGTAGAATCATCCCAGTAAACAGGAAATACAGTAACTTGATGGAATTCAAGCCCTTTTATGACAAGTTTCCTTGCTATGGGAACCTGGCAGGAAATACAAAGTCTCTTAAAAGAACAAGCATCCCAATAATATTCCAACATCATAGCCAGATTTATCACTGGGTAAAGTGAAGACACACACAACCAATCATTACTGTGTCACCAAACTTGAAGTGATTTGGAGTTCCCTCCACTTTTATCATTCCACAGGTTCAGAGTTAAAAATGGCATTTGAGTGATGCTACAATTAAACATGGTTATGTAAAATATTACCAAAAGGCTGATATACACTACATCAGTAAATTATATTTTGCTGTGAACAGAGTTATCCTTATTCACGTTACTTCCAGGTCTGCAGTACTCTGCATCAGGTGGCTAATACTGAACTTTTGTTAAAAGAAATATAGTTGACTTGGCATACTATAAAACCAAGGTCTAAAGTCAGTGGTAGAACAGAAAGTAGTATGGTCATTACTAACTTTCCACACTAATTACCAACTACTTCCACATCACTTGCAATTTATGCTAAAAAACTCCACAATTTGTTTTAATTCCAGAAGGTCCGAAAATCTGTATTTGGCTGCAGAAGCCTTAGTTTTAATGCTTAAACTTTGTGAAATTTTACCCCAAGAAACTTCTGACTACCATCAATGTGTGCTGATCATATTATTCTCACTGTTGAGATCATCTTGCACTCAAGAGCCACATACCAGGCTCTCCTGTCACTTTTATCACCTAAATGGACCAAAGTGTTTCAATGCTTAAGCATATCAAAAAAGATGTGGCATTATCATTCCCCTTTCACAGCTCAATTTGAGCACCTAAACCAAAGGAAACAAGATGGAAACAATTTTTAAGATTTGAGGAGCTTTTAGCTTATTCACTGTTTTGCAAGCTCAACAGCACTAGATTTTTAAATCTTTTCAGTAACACCTGACTTTGAATGGAATAATTCAGAGCCTTAGTGAGCCACACAAGTTATCTGAAGCACTTCCACTGAGTACTAGCTTATTCAGTCTTGTACAGCCCTGAAGTAATTCTGCAGATGTAGCCCAAGTCAAGTCAGACAGATGTTATCCAGTACCAGAGCCATGTTTGACACTCATACTTCCACTACTGCTACCAGACAAGGAGTTAGAAATCGGGTTTAAACAAACTGTTGATTTAATTTTCAAAACAATAGATTCTTTTAACTTAAGCTTCATCAACTCACAAAAGTTATAAACTATGTCTAAGGTAAGTGTCCACATTAAGCTTGCATTGTTTTTCGTTAAAATAATCATTAGAGCTTGAGGATGCAGATGCAGATTAAAGTTACTCTGCATGCATTAGAACAATTTATAAACTTATCTTTCCTTTACACAGGGATGCAAAAAAACCCCAAATATGATTATTTATTCAGAAACACTACATGCTTTAGAGCCTGTTTGGTCATAATTAGAAAACTTGCTTTCCTACATTATCATCTGAAGCAGAATCATCGTCAAGGAAAGAAATCTTGAAGTTCGTGCACACGAGTTTCCCGTAGGTGCCACGATTTGATCCATCTTCTTGCATATACTTGTACACTGTGCTTGCTTCACAAAGCAGCAGTTCACCTGTACGAAAGAAACACCAACTTGCAACATAACTGACATTTATAAGTTAATTGTTTCAGTTGTTATCTTAAACTCAGCATTAACTTCCTGACAGCTTCTCAGAACTCATCTGAAAATATTTCATCACTGTGACACAAAACCACTAAGAGGCAGCTCCTGAATCAGCACACTGAGAGCCTTCCAGGTTATTCACACTACTCCGGACAGCCTGAACTGCAGATGCTTAGGAGTTCTGTAACCAGAGGTGTCTCTGTCATGGCCTACTCTAAGTGGCAGAAGAACAACACATAGAGTTGCAAAGAACAACCTTGCCAGTGTGTACTTGAAAAAAAAAAAACAAACGACAACAAAGAGTATCCGGTCAATAAACAAATTGAACTCTTCCAATTTTCCTTTCTGTTAAACTCTAAGAATGCTGAAACATTTGAGTTAATTATTTCAAGTTCATCGTGGTTAATTCTTCATAACTTTGACTGAGGACATTGCTTATTTTGCAGGTCCCAGGGCTATTTTAAAGTTCTCAAATGCAAGTTTGCATAAATAATGGTCAACAAAGATCTAGTCTTAGAATTCACAGGAACTGAACTTCAAGTTTAAGAAAATAAAGTTTTAACAGGTAAAATCAGACAAACTCTTGGTCTTTCCTAGAAAGTGCAAGAAACTTAATACACCAATACTAGTTTATTGTAAACTTTTACTGATATTTTGTCTTTCTTGATCTTGGAAAACATTTTTTAAAAAGAAATAATTGTAAATTAAAAAAAAAAAAGTCTTAACAGTAAATTAGGCATCAAAAGGCCTAAGTAACTCGCAGTAGAAGCAAAGCAACTAGAAAGTAAGTTTCCTCTTGTTCTTGTCTTCAGTTCCCAAACAAAAAAAACATGTAACATACAACAGTTACCTGGTAATAAGCGAGGATTTACTTCCTTTTCTATGGGTTCCTTTATGTGTATTTCCTAAAGACAGCAAGAGTAATTATTACTTTGAATTATTACCTTCAACACATGCTGTAAACAACTACACTCCCCCTCTAACACACCTCACATTCTAGCTAATAGGCAAATTAAAATGAAGGAAAAAACCTTCTATACAAAAGGAGAGTAAGTTTGCAATGTGATCCTTCTACTAAATGTCAGTAGTCTATTAGCTAAATAATTAAAGTGGTTTGCCACCCACAGTGACAGTTACATGCATTTCTGAACACACACAAAAAAATGCATTATTTGTGTAAAGAACAGACAAAAATAAAGCATTACAAACACTTTAAGTTCTCTCAGCACATCTGAATGAATAAGCACAAACTTAGTATTACAACACCATCTCCCAGAATTCATTCATCAGCTTTGCCACATATGACTTATTATTTTTTCTAATGCATCCTTCACAGTTTTTCAAGGTTCATCCATCACTACCTGTTTCTGATTTTCTTACATGTATTATTTCAATCAAAGCACAAAAAGTTACTTAAACAGTACTAACACAATGTAAAAGGGACTTCAGGATCTCAGAGTCAAGAGGTAAAAACCAGTGATAGGATATTCTTTAGTTTGGACCTAAACTGCATAAAATGAACGTTCTCAGTATCACTTATTCCAGCCTCATGGCACTGATAGTTGGGCTAAAATCTCCAGCCAAAAGACTAATAAACTAGAGGACATGCTACACCCTTCCTGCTCAGCCAGTTCAGAACTTCCTCCTCCAAGTCCAATCACTTCACACGCATTGGAGTCTTTCTGGAAAACTATTAGTTAACTGGAAACCCCCCTGGGGCCACAGCAATAAGCAATCTAATTTTAGTTTGTCACCAGCATCCAGAGTCAGATACTGCAAATCAAGGCAAGCAATCAAAGGGAGATACAAGCAATAATAGTTTTGCTGGATTAAGTACAGAGAAACAAAAGCCCCTGAGAGCACAAAAATAAACCCCCCTGCCCTTCATATAAACACTTGCCCTCAACACTCAGAAGACTCAAAACAAAGTTTGAAAGTTGTACAGCAAAGCTAAAGCCACCAGGAAATCATGTCATGAGAACAGCAGAGATGTTCACGACAGGCTGAAAGAGAAAAAGGTTATAAAAATAAAATGGTGGTGAAGAAAGAAATCCATAACTACAGCTGGCAGCTAATGCAGAAAGCAAAACACAGTTTGCTACCTTTGACTTCTAAGAGTGGGCGTTGTACAAGTAGATTTTAATCAAAGTTCACACTTGTCAGCTAGAAAAATTACTGTAGCTTAATGTAAGCACCGCTGCATTCAGAGAAGATACGCACACTCTTTTCTTTCTCCAGTGTTGCCTCCTCACCACTCCTAAGCTAAACTTTGAATTTACTAGTGACTTTAATAGCCATACCTTATACAATCACTCTTTGTGTGCAACTACATGCAACACTGCTCAGAAATTGCATGCCAATAATCACTGCCACAGAACAGTAAAGCAGTATATTAACCAGGTAGCTTTTCCAGTAACTTTTACTTTGGGAGATATCATAAGGCATGTAATAACTACTGTTTCTGTATACACACTGCTTCAGTGTTTTAACTCATTGCCATGAGTACCATTTTATGTTACTGTTGGCAGATAAGACCTGAGGAAAAAAAAATTGACCTCAAATAAGTTCTTTATGCTTACACGCATTTGCTAAAATGCAATGAAGATTTTATACAGGTATCCAAGGCAATCATTTTGTACAGGTGCTTTCGGTGTTGGTTACAAGTTAAACTGGTTATCTTCTAAAAGGAATAAGAATTTTCATTAGATTCCATCAGAGCAGATTAGAGACCTCAGTCAAACAGTGAGACCACCATGTAAAATCCAGTTTTGCTTTGTTGACAAAACCCCACTCACTGAAGTTACTATAGGCAGAATCCCTGTAACATTCAACAGCTTTCGAGAGCTAAGCCTACAGAACAGTTCTATTTGAAAGTCAACATTTATATTCCCATAATGAATTAATGAACATATTAAACACTAGGGATAGCTAGACTGCAAGCCACGAATGTTGCCGAAGAATCCATACTGTGGCACTCATTTTCCAAGGGAGGGTATTAAAACACATTAAATTCTAGTAACATTTTGTAGATACGTTTTGTATTTGCTCTTTTCAGGGAGAAGGCAAAGATCTTTAGGAAGATATGTTGTTAACTCACCGTGAGTCTGTGCAAGTTGTGCAGGAAACCACATCTTTAGCTACCATCTCCATTCTGTTTCAAATTTTTTTTAACATGTATTTAAGTTTTGGGGCAACACAGATCCTACCACTAACTTAAGAGCCTGCTGACACTACAATTCATGCTGTTCAACATCCCTTTAATTAGTCACAGGTTCATAGTCTCCCATCCAGTTCTTTTATCCCTGGGTTTGTCTGATACACAGTGAGGTAATTTGGTTCATAAGATCAGCTGGGATGTATGTACTTGTGCTACATCTGGTTTTGCAGTTAGTGCCCATTGTTAGCAGAACTGGCTCATCAACAGGTCAAATGAGCACAGAAACAAAAGAAAGGGAAGCAGCAGGAGTAAATCTGTCCTTTTCCACAAGCTACTAAACACATTTGGACTTCAGGAATCTTCACCCTTTGACCATTTGCTGAAGCTAAGCATGCAAGCACTTTCCATATGCGACCACAGAAAGTTATGTAGATTGTAGAGAGATACTTCTTATAGATCTATTTAGATAGATCTGTAGCTTCCCTGTTCTGAATTCCCCAAGCAGCATTTTGTCACTTCTTACTCAAGATACAACACAGGAAACCCTACTAGCAGCCACAGCTAAAAGCAGACACCCATAGGACACCACAGAAATGACAAAAATTAACTTCAGATACTATAGAGACAAAGACCTGAACTTTGCTGAGGGTTTTAGAAACTTCTTTCTCAGAGATGCTTCTCACTAGTGCACTCACCTTGTGCTACAGTCCTTTTTCCAGGCTCTAGAAAAGTGGTAGGTATTACAGCAATGCCCTTTAATTATCAGTTGTAACAGCGCAGAGTACCAAATCATGCCACAATTTCAGGCTGACATAAGGCTGACACCTTATTAATTCATAATGCATACTCCTCCTAGCTAGTTCAAAGCAACTTCAGGTGATTGCCCTATAAAAACATGAAGTGCTAGGGAAAGGAGACACCACACTGCTCACAGATTCTCTGCCTCAACACGGGAGAAAAGACAATACAGAAACTGTTTTTCTTAAGGAAAGGCTCACCTCTTCTCATCTTGGTTTTTACCTGAGTATGAGCAACAACTGCACAGTTTGCAACACCCAGGGACTACATTCAGGTCTCCCAAAAACATATGTATTTGAAGGGACTAGTGTATATTCCCCACATGTGTCTGGGGAGGTCTTCCCCAAGCGCTGAAGGCACATGTGAGGCAACATCAAGTTCAGGGCAGCAAGGTAAAGCAGCAGCTATGCTTCATTAAGAGGGTCCTAACAGCTGGAGCAGGAAAGGAATCCCAAGTGAGCCCTGCTTTTTGTCCTACAGCCTCACTACAACTGAGAGCAATTCCTCTCACTCCACGTGGAGGTAAACAACTGTGTACAGGAGATATGTAAAGAGAGAAAAACACTACCTGCATGCTAGAACACAGACCTTGTTAGAAAATCTGGATATTTGCTTTTCAATCAGTATTGCAATATATATATATAGAGAGAGAGAGACAGATACAAGTCTGTTGACACTGGATGTTGGTCATCACTCCCGGCAGAGACCACGCATACAGTCTGCTACTGCAAACTGTATGCCGTAAACTCTGAACCCACCTTACCCACAGTAATGCCTCCATTTACCCATAGCTGGACATTTGTGCTAGAGGTAGTTCCAACAATGAAAAATAAGATTTTTAGTAAACATACTGAGAAAACATGTTTCTGAGATTCAAACAGTAAAGTTATCACTTTCAGGGTATCAAGAGTGTTGGCTGAAAAGTACATTTTTTCAAAGCTGACAGCAAATAGTAGAGCTGTGAGGACAGAGGATACTTTCGTGTTTTTATAGTTTTCCAAAAGTAAGCTCTGTATGGGGAAGCTCTACATCATGGTGAGGTTTGCTATGAACATCTGCTTTTTTTTCATATTTACTTCATCAAAAGACTAAAAGAGGGGTGAAAGATAAATGTATAGTTAAGAAAGTTATCAGTTGTAAGAGTCAAACTGCACTGAAATACTTGCAAGCTAGTCGTGGTGCTCCAACAAAGAACGTACAGTGTTCCTGAGTAAAATAAATCAAACTTGTGCCTGACAATTCCACCAGAATGTCACGCAAAAAAGGAAATACCTGTGCAAATGCATAGCATATACTTTGTATTCTGAAACAAACCACATTAAGTACTTGGTATTTTCTTTATTGGTCACACAAGCCTAATCCCATGTTGTATGCCATACAATCCAGAGAATATACTTACCACACTTCAATAACATTGCTGAAAATAATCTCTAACTGCTTGTTTTCCTTCCTTTCACTCCATTATTCAACAGTCCATTAGATCATAGCGCGTGTTTTCCATGTCCGTTTCATCTCTTATCCTTTCCTCTTTCCTTATATTGTCCTGTCCATCCCCTCTGACATCAGCTCCTGGTTTCCCCCATGTCAGCCCAGCTGTCCTCTTCAATAACTCCTATTCCATATACCACTAACCCTTTAATGTCACCATTCCAGCTTTGAAGGAGCACTGTGCTATTTTAAGAGTGATTACTACAGAACACACAATACTGTACCAAGATTTACAAGCAAAAAGTATTTGCGGTGGTTATGAGCTAAAAAATGTGCAGGATCTGAGAGACAAAGCACAAGAGGTATGAAAGTTACCCTCAGCAGTCTGTGGTGTACTCCAGATTTCAGGGACAAGCAGCATGGAGCAGAACAACCTCTTTTAAAGTTTAAGGGCTAACACATGAAATAGCATTCCATAATAATTAACATGAAGGATTTAACTCTAAAGAATGCATGTGCACAAAAATCAACATTAAGCTTGAAATCAAATTTAATATCTACTTTTTTATCCAAATTAAGATTTTTTTTAGGAAAATAGGATCTACCTTGTTTGCCCTGTAAATCCCCTCAGTTTCAAAAGTTTGAAAAGTTAGAAATCATGAAGTAGTTCAATGGTTCTTGTTTCTGTGTCTCCATAGACAAATATTCCAAGTCTATGATCAGACATGTCAAAACATTGACTTTATACCCCAGCATTCACCCCACTTCCTGCAGGGTAGCCAAGTCTGTCCTGAGGGGAAGTGTGTCATTAATATCAACATCCTACAGTCTCACTCTCAACAGACCATTGATTGATCTGTGGTTTCATACAGCAGAGCATAACTAGGTTATATTTAGTCAGATGTCAAAAACACTGCTTTTCCAGACATTCTGGGGTTTCACAGCAGAAAATACTTCTGTTCCTTTAATAAAGAGCATTTTCTTTTCACTCCTTACTTCCATGTGGTCATATATTAACATGAATAGTGTTCCTGTTTCTTTTCTTAATCAAACACACAGCACAGCTTAAAGCTAACTTAAATTTTACTTTTCAGAACATTGTCTAGTGTGTCCCTCAAGAATCTGAAGACAGAATAAATAAGAGGGGCTAAACCAAAACTCAGTGCTGGCTGTTGATTTCCTTATTGTAGGGCTCCCCTAACCCAGAAGGGGAAGCTTAAGGTCTTAAACAACTTCCCAAGCAAACAAGGACAAGCCCAAAGAACCTGGAGGCTGTAAGCAAGGGGAGGCTACAGCATAACGCTAGCATATCGCTCTCTGTTGCACCATGGTTGACAGGAAATCTTGCTGCAGGTTAGAAGCACAAAGAGATTCAAGGCAAGGCTCTGTAAATTCAGCGAGAAGTCCACCACTAACTCCCATGCTACTCCAATGATGTAAACTCAAACTCATCAAGTCCCTGAACTGCTGGTACCCATTTTTTGACAGGACCTGCCAGAGGAAGCATCATGCTGAATAAACCTGTTGCCAATATTCCTCCCTGAGCACCTGGAAGTTAACACTACCTTGATCAAATTTCCCAGCCAACCAAACTATGTTCCATATACAAGGAATTGGGAATTCCCCCTGTTCTATCAGTCTAGATCCATTTTAAAAACTCAGCTACATGAAAGTTAACTTGTACAGGAAACTCATGTTCAGAAAGTTATTTTTCTTGGGTGCATACAGAATACAGTTCCTTGAGAGATGCTCACTTCTGCTTACTTTAGGATATTTAATCAACATGCTTTTTCTAGATACCCAAATAGCCTCACAGGTTTCAACATATATCTAATTTTTTTTTTATCCTCAAAAAAGCCACTAAAGTCTTCAGTTTCCTGTGTAACCATTAAGGCAGTCATAGGTTGTCAACAAGAGCAGAGTGACACTTGCTTTACTTGCTACTCACATCAGACCTCAATTTCACTGAGTTTTTGAAGGTGCTAGCGAGACACTAATTCTTTGGCAGAAGTCACAACTGTAACACAAAGTTTCTGCTGCAAGAGTCCATGAAATTGTTAAATTTAAGTCTAAAAAGGAGAGGGCTAAAAGCAGCAGGAATACGTCAAGAGTTAATGACTGCAAGCTCGAGTGAATCAGGATATTTCATTAAGAGCTTCATCTTCCAATATTAAATACTTCTGTTATTCTTCCTGCAGCCATCAGGATCATATTTGAGGTGCTGCATCACTGCAGTTGAAATCAAGCTAAAGTACTCTTTATTATTTGATATTTTACTATTTTGCACTATATATATTTGACTTGTACTTTTCCAGACCAGCCATTTTTTCTAGCGAGCTCTAGGCATCCACCTCACTCATTTAAGTGGTGAAATATCATCCAGTAAGTCCAACAATTCAAGTTGTGACCTTCACAAAATTCAGTTCCCTGAGAACTGAATTTTGTATATTTGTACAAGGTACTTTCCTAAGGTGAAACAGTGACGTCACACAGGGATATAGTGGCTGACTCCAGAAATATTTGTACGTATAATTTACACCCGTTTTCGCTTGGAAATACAAGAAAGAGAAAACTTTTAAAGCAAACCAATGAAACTACAAGCCACTAGGCCTGAACAACATATAGAATCAGTTTTGCTATCACAAACTAAGGACCTAAGCTTTAAGTGGCACAGCTACTTTAGTTGTAAAAACTCTGCATTGTTTTCAGATCCAGTAAAAAATAAAAGCAGTGGACTTACCAAGGTCCTACCAGTGACAGACTGTACTAACCAACAAGATAAACAAAAATCTCTTCCTTAAGAAGATCTCATGAGAATCAAACAATTAAGAAGAACCGGTCTGACACACATTACAAAGAACTAGGAGGTGGGGGAAAAAACCCAACACATATGGCTCATTTTCATGGATTGGTTTAACTAGAAAACAGCTGTTTACCAGGAATAAGAATGGAGAAATACAGAATAATACTGACCTAATGCCATCTGGTAACAAGATGACCTCAGTAAACCCAGTCTAAGATCACTTCGATCAAGTCGCCAACACAAGTTTCAATAAGTAAGTGCAAGGACAAGAGGGAAGAACAATATCAAGGTTGAACACAGAAAGATACACACAGCCAAGAGCTCTTACGGAGGGATATCCAGAGCTTTCCAGCGGCAGAACTGAGAGCAAGGAGTTCACCGAGGCACAGCGCGAAGTGATGTTCAGGGACAATAAGAACAACAGGTTCGGAAAGTCCCACCTTACGGGACGAGCAGCCACAGCCCGACATCTGGTCCCCGCTCATAAAAACAACTCCTCTGACCAGCCAACGATATTTCTTAATATTTTTTCAGCTTTTTTTCCACCCCCTCACCTTCGGGACAGCCCCCGGGAGGCTCAGCCCCGCAGTCTCCGGCGGCACCCCCGGCACCGTCCCCGCTCCCTCAGGATCCTCCGCTCCCCGCGGCCCCCGCCGTGTCCGCCGCGGCCCCGCCGCCCCTCCCGCGGCCCTTCCCCGCCCGCCCCCGCGCCCCCCGCACCTCCGGGCTGATGTAGGACACGAAGGACGGCTTGGCCGCCCTGGCCCCGCCGCCCAACATGGCCCCGGCCGGCGGCCGCACCGCTTCCCTGGGCTCGTCCCGAGCGGGGAGACAGCGGAAGGAGCGAGCCCGCCGCGGCGCGGCCAGGATCCGCATCACGGAGTCGACACCGCCCATGCCCGCCCACAGCCCCAAACTCGGCCTCAGCCCGGCCCCGCGACGGCCATTTCTGGGGCGCCGCCTCCCGCCCACAGCCCTCACTGGGCCCGGCCGCTGTCAGTCACCGTCCCCGGGGTGGGAGGGCACGGCCCTGGGCATCTCCCGCGGCACGTCCCGGGAAGGTGCAGGCGGCTCTTGCTTTGATCTGCTGGACGCGGCTTGGGCTGACAGGGGTCCCTCCTCCGCTGGCTTTTTGAATTCGGGGTAACCGCGTCCCTTTTTGCGTTGCTGAGAGGAGCGCCTGCCCCTGCCTGTGCCTCGGTCCCGTTGTCACTTCCAGAGAGTCATAAAATCACGGAATGGTTTGGGTTGTAAAGGACCTAAAGCTCATTTCGTTCCAAACCCCCTTGCTATAGGCAGAGACACCTTCCACCAGACCAGGTTGCTGGGAACACCATCCAACTTACTCTTGAACATTTCCAGGGATGGGGCATCCACAGCTTCTGTGGGCAACCCGTACCAGTGCCTCACCACCCTCACAGTCAAGAATATCTTCCTAATATCCAATCTAAACTTTGTTTTAGTCATCCATTGCACTGTTTTGTACTCAGCTGCAAAACGCCAGTCTTGTATCTGTGCAAACTTATAAGAAAAGTCAGCATTAAATAAAATCTGAACAAAGCACTGAGGTGTAGAGTTTTAGTAATGGCAGGAGAAGTGCAAGGAAAATGGCATAAAATTAGCTCTCCATGAGAAATAATCCTCTAAATCCTCTAAAACCTGACTGCTAATAGACCCCAAGATCTGCTCAATATCTGTTCGTGTGTTACAACCACAGCCTCTCTGGAATGTCGTCTTTGGACGCTGTAAACGAACACCGGGTTTACCTGGTATCTAGGTTACTTTTAAAAGCTCCATTTTTATATGGATACAGAACAATGCAAATATTGTAAGTGGCCTGTGGCAATGCAGCAAGACAACACAGCAATTCAAATGATGAATGGTAACCCAGGCAACAATTTGCACACAGAGTAGAGTTTATGGAAATATTTTTAAAAATAAAACATACTTTTCAAACTTCGGTAGACCATAAGATGTGAATATCAATAGCTACTTAAATAATAATAATAATTACTTCTGATATCATTCTCTCCCTTTTTATTGCAATACTCTTTATTTACCTTGCTCCAAACCCAGACCTAGGAAAACTAAAAGAGGAAGAAAAGGATTACGTGTGTAAGACAGCCTTTATAAAAATAAAATACAGTGACTGTTTTAATTCAGAAATAAAACAATTTCCCTGTTTTCAAACTCAAGGAAAAAGAAGTCTTTGGATTTAATCACCTTCAAGAAAATTGTTAGAAAAAAAAGAAAATTCAGAGATTAGGTTTCGTTAGTAGTTTTACAACAAAGGTTATTCTGGTATGGGATCCCACGCAGAAGAGCTCTCTTGTTTCACTCCACAGCTGCTTCCTTGTCATTCCTTACATTGCAGCTAACCTCAGCTGCATAGGTCAAAAGTACACCCCATGGGATTAAATTGGTGTAAGTCCAGGGAGAGGGGAAATGTAGACTGCATTTCTGTGCTCTCTAGTGTATTAAAATACACAAAGAAAGAGAACGGCACTATAAAAAAAAAAAGTTTTAAAGTATCTGAATTTACAGTGGGAATAGCATGAATACCTCAGAATGCCATGAAGGCACACTAAGGCAAAAATCAGCTACTTACTGACATAACACGTTTCAAAGAGGAAGGATGTTTTGACACTAGGCCAGAGTCTTAACTTGGATGTGAAGTGCAAAAGGAGCTTTAATTCCCACACAGCACATGGGAATTCATTTTTCAACATCTCATAATAAAAAAGCCCTACATCCAAAAAAATCGGAATGTAACTGCTAATATCCAGAGCAAAAAATCCGTGTCCTGTCGTGGTAATGAACAGGAAGTGTTCCTTCCTGGGGTTTGCTCTCCAGGCTGCCAAATGTGCAGGGCTCAACCAATCGCAGAAGGAATTGGAAGCCTTTTGCCTGGAATTTAAGGGTGGGATTCAGATCCCCTTCATCAGTCAGTGTGTTCACCTTTTCTGGAATGAATGAAATAAACTATCACACATGCAGGTTAACCGACCTCAGAGAAGTACACTGGCATCTGAAAGGGCCAGCTGCAACCCACAGTGACCCAACAGATTACAGAGCCCTGAGGCCTTTGGGGATCTTCCCTTTCCTCAGAAAGGCCTCTGTCTTCTCCTTTTCTCTTCTAAAATCTGGAGTCTGTGGGGAGTACCCACAAAAGCCAACTTCAACCCAGCCACCTGATCTCCATAGATTCCTCCTGCAGACAGTGGAGGGAAATAGGCTCCTTGTGAAGGCACCCAAATATAGTCTTTGTTAAGAAACAGCCTCAAGAGAGTGCCCAGTGCTCAGAGCACCTCAGGAAATCAGCTTGGTCAGACTGAAGCTGGTCTTCTGAAGTGCCCTACTTCCCCTCCTTGTCTTTACACTATAGTCATCTACTGCCTCTCATTTATGTATTTATATATTTACTTTTCTGTCACTTTTATGTGCTCCCTCCCTGCACATTTTCACTCTGTAGTGTTGTTCCAAATTATCCCTTGTAATTTTCTCCCTGTGAGGAGATAAGACAGTTGAATCCTGCATCATTTGGGATTATTCTCTTCACCAGTGAAGACTTTTTAAGACATAATTTTGCAACAAATTGAAATTCCTGGGATGGTGTATTAACAGGATATGTCTTCCCACGTTACTTCTAAATGGGAAGTGTTGTTTAATTCTGCCAATGACTTCCAGTATATTAAAAAAAAAGTGTGTAAAATTATGTAATTTAGTTTTGTTCAGTTTTACATTTCTCAGTTATATCAGTGACAGTCATGCAAATGTAGAAGACTAAAACTTTTTAAAAGTCAAGTTCTAATTTATCTGTGGTGGGTGAGGAACATACAGCATTTTACTGCCCCTATTTTATCCTGATACTTTGAACTCTCTAAAAACATAATCACAGTATTCACCTTTAAAAGAGGGAAACTCCAGACCAGCTCTGCTCTTCCCCTGAACAGAGATTGCTTTGTTTAAAAAATTTACGTGCCATTACTTTGAGTAATTCTTTGGGCTGAATTCTCAGCTGTGCCCAGGCTGGGTGGGAACAGCTGACGGAGGGGAGACAGAAAGGAACCACTTGCAGCTTTTCTGTCAATTTTTTTTCAGGGATCCTCTCAACTACAAGTTGTGTCTCCTATTTTCCTTCATGGCAGTCCTCCTCATCAGCATTGCCTTGGCCATGGGGAGTGAGTAGCCTGGATAAGGCATTATCCGAGGCAGTATCTGGAGTGCAGTTGGCAAAGATCACTGAACACAGCTTTGTGCCGCATTCCAGCTTTTCTGAGCCTGGGACTTTGTAAATTGCGGTGCCTTGGGGAGTCCAAAGGGTGCTCGGATGCACTGTGGTGCACTCGGGTGGGATGCAGGTCAGTGTGTGTTGTTGTGGATGCTTTGGTATGGGTTGCACAGGTGTCACGAATTTTTAAAGCCACTTCTGGGTGTTGAGCAAACTTGTGCGACTACTGAATTTCTACTCCCGATTTCCTCTTGCTGAAGAAAATAGAAGGAGCCTTTGCCCTTCTGTAGACCTGCAAAGTCACAGGTGGGCAGAGCTTCCATTCCAGAGGGGTGAATCACTGGCAGGACTCTGTGGCTGTGCACCCCTTTGACCTCCCATCATGGCCACGTCCAGGTGTGGACACTACTTTTAGTAAGTGCATCTCCAGTGGTGGCACAGGCAAAGATTTTGACACAGCAGCTGGAAAGAGAATCTTACAAAGTTACCCTTTGTCAAGGTTTCACAATCCTCCTCTTCTATCCAGAAAAGCTACCTGGACAGAATTTGAAGATTTTTCTTTTTTTCACGCTTGTCTGGGCATTTCCAGAAGAACTGCACAAACCTAGGTATTTCTGTCATACATGCAGAGTTACTCTTGACACTTCCCAGAGCATTACACGTGGTCACGTGTGCTAAGAAGGGAGGAGGTGTCCCTAAAGTGTTGGATTTACCCTGAGTATAAACAGATCTGCCAGGCGTGCTGGGTCTGATACTCCCTATCTCTACTGTTCAGTTAAGTAACTCAGTTTAGGGATTAATATATTAAGCACATTAAAGTGGCTGAAATCAGTATGCAAGAAATATAGGAGAATTAAGATGAAGATGGCAGTCAGATTACTGGGAACTATCAGAGAAAAAATCATAAATGAGGAATATACTGTGATGTCCCCTGGGAAAAGGTCAGCAAATCAGTCTATAGCTATCTCTGCTTTACACAGGTTAAGATAATTTCCTATGAAAAGTCATGAATGTTAGCTTTATGCAAATTAAGACAATTCCAAAAAAAAAGAAAAATAAAAGAAAAGCTCTACTCTAAGATGTTGCTTTTAGCACTGGATTCACACTGACATTTTCATCTGTCAGTACTTCCAGTGTCCTTTGGGAGTTAGTTTCCAAACTTGATTCAGATTACAGGTGAACTCCAAGGTAATACTGGAGCTGTGGAGTATAACCATTTGTTTCCATCCTCATTTATGAAAGTATATGGTCAGAGATTGTGTAATGGTGTCTTACATGAACTCTTTATCTCTCATCTTTGTTACAGTGATCTTTCTCTACTGACTATATTGTGTGTTTCAATTTTGTATGTAGCGTTTTCTATTCATTGTTGTGAGAACCTAATTTCTTTGGGGAGGTTTTGTGTGAATCTCCCCTAGTAAAGGGAAAGCAGACCTATTCTAGCTTTCATCAGCTGAAAACTCTGGCTCTGACTCCTAATCCATCCCATGTCTCAATCTATGGATGCCACATGCCCAGTTCCTCCCTGAAGGTGGTTGAAGAGATGCATTTTATTTCTTAAGTAAAGCCATCTGGGATGTCCCACATGGCCACATCATGACTCAGACAGCAAACAGCAATTCCTTCAGCAGTAGCAATACAGACCATTGCAATTTTGTATCCATCCCCTAATTATTGGATA